CACAGGTGACGCTCGCTGATGCACAGCCAGGATAGGAAGAAAGGAGGCTGCTTCTAAGTCAGCACAGGCCAGAAGTTTCTGGAACTGAAGCAGTGTCAGCAGAGGCTGGCTGAGCAGGGGCTTGAACGGGCCAGCAGGGGCTCCTATTTTAAATGGGGACAGGAGTCAGGATGTTTTTAAAGCCCCCGATGGCGCAGAAAGGCTGTGATTCAGCTCGAGGGCTGTGGCTCATGTCTTGGAGGGTGGCGGGCTGGAAAGAGTGAGGACGGAGAAGTGAGACTGGTTCCAAGAAAAAAGCCAGACAGAGGGGAGAGGAACGTCTGAGACGAGGAGGGAAATCCCCTGCCCTTGACGGGTGGCTGCGGTACAGAACGGTGGCGCTCTTCCAGGACAGGGTGAAGGGGGGCTCCCAGGCCGGGGCGTCTGTGTGTGTGTGTATGTGCGTGCGCAGGTGACAGAGCCCCAAGTCTTGGCTCTGCCACTTACAGGCTGAAGCAAAGCTCATCATGCCCTAGGCTAGCTATCTGCCTTTGTCAAATGGGTGGGAAAGCACCTCACAGCAAAGGGCACTAAAGGTGAATGGCTTTGCAAGAATTAGACTGAGAATACAAGGAAGATCTGATCATTAGAACCAGACAAGTGGCATGAAGAGACGCAGCTCCCAGACCTCAAAGTCACAGCCTTGGGGGAATTCTCTAAGTACTGATGTCAAGCAAAGGGGTTTGGCAAGTCCCTCCCTGGCCTCCAGTTATTTTTAGGTACCATCAAATCAGCTACGACTCACAGCAACTCCATGTGTTCACAGATCTGAGCCTTGTCCAACTCTGTATCATCCTCATTATTTCTCTCATTCTCAAGCCCACTGTGTCATTCCATCTGGTTGAGGCTTTGCTGACCTTCCCCAGCATGATATCCCTCTTGAAGGATTGGGCAGATCCTGAAACTATGCCCAAAGACAATGCAGAAAGAGGTGTCAGGGAGGGAAGGTCCAACGGCACAGAATGCGGTCCTAAGCTGGAGTCTCTAACACATCACCTTCCTAGACCACACAAGAGACTGACTTCAACAACCACCACTGACACTCATTCATTGGTTGGTTGCCAAGGGCCAGGCTCAGTGCACACTCTAACATGTACAAATTCCTCCAGGCCAATGCCAATCCCGTGAATTTCCATTTTAACTGAGGAGGGAACTAAGCTTGGAGAGGCTAAATTGGGCACGTAGCCAGGAGGGACCAGTCCTTAGAGATGGACATCATGCTTGGAAAGGTAGAGGGATGGCACAGGAGAGGAAGACCCCAGATGAAATGGATTGACACGGTAACTGGGTAATGGGATTAGGTGTGTTTGAGTCAGTGAGATTGACTCAGGATAGGGGAGAGTTTAGAGCTATTGTACATAGTCATATTGTACATATGACTTGCAGGCGACGTGACGGCACATAATAATAAAAACAAAGGTCCATAACTGGTACTTATCAGAGCTGGTATTCACACATGGAGGGACTCCAGTCTGTACCAACAACCCAAAACAAAAAGCAAAGCCCCTGGCCAATAAGATCAACTTGAGTCTCAGGGCAGCCTCATGGATTACAGAGTAGAACCACCCCTTCCCCCAATCTCCGCAGGGTTCTTTTGGCTGTAATGTAATCTTGACAAGGGCAGAATATTAGGTGTCAGTGAACAAGTTCAAACTGCCAACCTTCCGGTTAATAGTTGAGTGCAAACTGTGCTGCTGGGGACCTTCCAACCTGCATCCATTCTCTTAAAAATCATGAGAAGAGTAAGGATGGAGAATGGTAAAGTAAGTGTTTTTGAGGGTCTTGGCAAATCCTTCAAATCATCAACACCTTTTTCTCACTTCTCCAGACACTCTGGGGACTTGTTTCATGACCTCCTATATTTGTCTCTATGTGCAGGCTCAGGTCCAGGGGAGAGGCAGGTGGGAAGCAGAGAGTCTAGGCTGGAGTCCCGACTCTGCACTTGAATGCTCTTGGCACTTGGCCTTGCCTTCTGAGTGTCTGCCTCCAGACCTGCACCACGGGGCTAATGCACCTCCCTTGCCGGACTACAGGGAAAAAATAATGGCATTATAGACCTCCGTGTGATGGATTGGCACAGTGACTTCAGCTCTAGGGCGTCAGAGAGGATTGAAGAGGAGACAAGGTTGAGGTGGCTGTTCACAGGGCTGCTATATGAGCCATACTCAACTCAATGGCACCTAATACCAGCAACAACAACACATACAAGAGCACCAAGTTCACAGTGGGCTTTCAGGATGCTGGTCACCTCCCCTCCTCATTATCTCCTTTCATTACTCTGTCCACATGCAAAGCTTCTCATCCTCCAGATAAGGATATGCTGCCTATCACGAGCCACCCCTGATCACCCCTTCACCATGATCATTTCATGTTCTCAAATCCCCACTCTCATGTCTTGTCTCTCTCTGGCCTTTTGGGGTTCTTGGCCTCTCTGCCTCAGTCCGTCTCCCTCATAAGACTGAACCTATACACTGAGGAGAAGGGGTATAGAGTCTAGCTAAGAAGGCCTAAGAGACCACTGCTCTATGCCCTGGTGCCTTGTGTCCTGGACATGCCCAAGAGGTGAAAGACCTGATGGGTATAGAGGATTGCAACGCTGCACAGAGACATCACCCAACCTATCACTAAGTAGGCAGCTGACCCTTATTTTCCTCCATCTCAGCTGCCTGAGAATTGGCTGTGGTCCTGAGGATGGGGGACAGCAACACTGTCTCTGGCCTGTAACAGAGTCATAGCCTGACAGAGCCTATACAGGGCACTAGGATATCCAAGCACCAAATCTAGCTCTCCTCACGCATCCTTTCAGAATTCTTGTCCCTTCTACAGCCTTGCTTTGGCCATTGATACCAAGGAACTTCAAAGAGGCACATTTCTAGCTCATAGATGATGGGATAGCATTTCAAACAAGAAGAAAACAGGCTGATATTGCATGGTCTAAAATCAGAGATAATATTATTATTAATTAGAAATTATTATTGCCATAATGGTTACCCATTGTGGACAGTGTTTGGTGGAGCTCCCAGACTGAGACACACCTGGAAGCAGGAATGGCATCCACTTCCTAAACAACATGAAATGACAACAGATATATAGAACTGGGTTCAGGGCTTTTGTTCATAGGATCACTATGATTCGTGTTTCACTCACCGGCACTTAACAAAACAACAAAATCAGAAAAGGTTTGCAATAGAGTTAGAGCCTTTCGACATACTTATTCAATTTGTATGCTGACCAAAACCCATGAAGCTGAACAATATAAAGAAGAATTTGACATCAAAATTGGAGTAAGATTGATTAACAATGGGTAATATGCAGATGTTATAAATTTGTATGCATGAAATGAAGATGTGGAGCACCTGCTGATGAAGAGCAAAGATAGGAAATTCCGTATAGAGGCCACTTCAACATAAGGGAAAATAAAATCCTCATAGCTGGACCAATAAGCAACATCATGGTAGAGAAAAGCCTAAGTTGCCCGTAATTTCATTTTACCTTGGTCCACAATTAATACCCAGGGAAAGAGCAGTCAAGGGATCCACAATACAGTACACTGCGAAGCCTATGGCAAAAGACCTCTTAAAGTGTTAAAAAGCAAAGATACCAGCTCGAGGTGTTTCTGACACAAGTCCTGGTATCCTCGAGCTCCTCACATGCCAGTGAAAGCTAGACCAAGAACAAGGACAGAAGAAGAACGGATGACTCTCAAGTATAGCTGTTGTCAGGTGCCATCGAGTCGAGTATGACTCATAACGACCCTATGAACAACAGCCCTGAACCCCGTCCTACCCCGTGCCAATCCTCGTTATCTCTGACACTTAAAATACCAGGGGCTTCTAGATGAACACATCTCTCTTAGAAGAAGTACAGCCAGGATGCCCCTGAGAAGTGAGCACGGTGAGATTTTGTCTCTCACAGACTTTAAACGTATTTATCAGGAGGGACTAATCCCCAGAGAAGGACATCACTCTTGGTAAAGGAGAAGATCAGCAAATAAGATATTTGAGGAGATGGACTAATGCAGGGGCTGCCACAATTGGCTCAACCGTAACAACGGCTGTGAGGGTGGCCCAGGGCCGGTCAGTGTGTTGTCATGTTGTACCTAGAGTCACTGTGAATTAGAACTGACTCCAGGGCCCCTAACAACGAGAGCAAAGCTCTGTGGGCCAATCCTGCCACACCCGGATCTCTGCCACCACAGGTCTATAATTTATTAGCCATGGTCTCTGTGCTGTGCTGTTTTTTCTATCCAGACCGAGCTAGACTCATTGAGGTGATTGTCTGACCTTTTTCTGTTTTCAGTGACTCATAACCTACTTGCTATTTTCATTAAAATTGGGCTGCCTGCTGTCCACACAGTCTGACTCAGTGTGTCTGAAACCGCTTCCTCGGCTGGGCCTCAGTGTGTTCCCAGGAGGAAGGAGGCCGGCTCCCCTGGGAGCAGCTGTCTTTCCCAGGGCCACAGGTGAAACCACAGCGGGGGCTCTGCAGCTCCCACGGGTGGGCTCCATTAGCTCCCTCATAGTTCAGGCCTGAGCAACAGCCCCCATTCAAGTCACTTCCCTGGTGCCAGGAAGTGGGCTCGGACCTGTGTCTGTGCTGCTCCAGGTAATCTTGCCACTCCCCACCCCTCGCCCCAGGACAGGACCACTGTCATCACCATTTTATGAAAGAGAAACTGAGTCTGAGAGGCTAAGTGACCCGAGGTCCCAGAGCCGGGAAGGGACACTGCATCTCCCTTTGGACAGTCAGTCCTCTTGTGTCCACAGCACAAGGTGGCCCTACTGAGGGACATGATGTGCCATTCCACCTGGAGTATGTGCAAAATGCCCATCAGCCAGTACTTTCCTGAACTAGGTGAGTCAAAGATCATGGCCACAGGTAAGAAGCCAGTTCTGGGGCTCTGGGATCTCTCCAGTGCCCCTCAGGCCCACAATTGCACAGCAAGGCCCGGTAGTACTCACCGGGGCATGAGTGTAAGTGACAGCGTCCAGGATCTCAGCGACGCTGTCCACCTCCTGAAGGCCGCTCGACTCTCCTGAGGCCTGTGAGGACAAATGACACCGGGAAGAAAGGGGGACGTTTACATGAGCGCCCTGCAAGTGAAAAGGACCGGAAATGTGGAAGAACATGGTGGTGCATGTGTACGAGAGAGACAGCCATGTTTTCTTCTACATTTTATTGCTCAAACAAACAACAACAAGAAGTAATCAGTAATAAAATCCTAAGTGTCCTTTCCTGTTACCACATAATATTCACAATTAGCCTACAAATGGTAGCCAGTGAGTGTGTGTGCCACGATTGTGTAAACATCCCTTATCATCTGACTCAATTTGGAGATGAATGAGTGAGCACACGTAAGGCTTTCCTGTTCTCGGCATCACTTGAGTGCCAGGCTGGGTCACGGAATCAAGGAGCACAGTCATTCTTACTGTCAAATGCCACCTCTGGGGACTGTCCCATCCCACTGCTCAGAGACCAACCACCCCACTAAGCAGGTTTAGTCAATGCAAAACACCAAACTTACAGCTGTTGAGGTGAACCTGATTCACAATGACTTTCTTTCCAGTTTCTGAGGCTGTAACTCTTTCCAGGCGGGAAGCCTGCTCATCTTTCTCCTTTAAAGTGATTAATGGGTTTGAACTAATGACCTTTCAGGTAGCATCCTGACACGTTATCCACCACCACACAGAGTTCCTTAAGCTGATAGCTGTGTTTATTGAAGAAACGAAATGTATGCTTTGTTTTCAGGTTGACACATCCAAAGAGGAATAGAAGCTCCAGGAATATACCATTTCTGCTCACCTCTACCAAGGGGGAAAGATGGACAATCCCCTTCCGTTAAGAGTTACAGCTACAGAGACTGCTGGAAGGACATTTGGAGCTGGAGTCAAATAGCCACCAGTGTTTGTGAGTTTTTTGTTTGTTTTTGTTCAACCCCTGACTTTTTGCAACACGAGGCCCCTTCTGCCCGGAATGCCCCCCAGCTGTGTCATCCGGTTACCACCTGTTTGTCACTGGTCAAGCATCACCTCATCTCTAACTTGCTTCTCATTGTGTCTCTTTTCCCTGTTGGCCCCGATCCTCCCCTGGACTTCAGTCTCTCTCAGCTCTGTCACTGCATGTGGGTGTGAGGGATGTGTCACTGCATGTGGCACTGGAGGATGGGACAGCATCTGGGTTATCCACGAATCCCCAGCACCTACCCAGGGTGCCACCTGACAGGCATTTAGTAGATCTTGGAAGAAGGGAAGGAGAAAGAAGCAAAGAAGGGAGGGATGAAGAGAATTGATAGAGGGAGGATGGAAGGATGAAAGGAAGGAAAAGGGAAGGGAGGAAGGGAAGGAGGGAAGGAGGAAGGGAAGGAAAGAGGGAGGGAGGGGGAAGAAGGAAGGAAGGAGAAATGAATGAAGTAAAGAAGAAGAAAAGAGAGAAAGGAACCAGAGAAACAAGCCATCCATCTTGCCTACCACCCCACTCCCAATTTAGGAACCGATGCACTTGCCAAGCCTAAAAGCTAAATTTAGGTTCATTTTTATAGAAATTCACACCAGAATGTCTTAGAGCTCTAACTCTGATTTTAGAATCCTGACCCCCTTGCCTGGCAGGAAGGCTGGAAACCAGGCCACTGCCCGCCACAGCGGCGAAAGGATCTCGCACTGTATAAAAGCCAGAGCCCCCTGCAAAAACAGACAGCTGAAGCACTCTTCAAAAAGTAAAACAAAACCAAAAAGCCCAAAATAGGACGTGAGGCAGTGCCTGCCCAGAGGAGAGGCTTCAGAGGCGCCATGATGCTGGGGATGAGGAACGGTCCGGGCACTGGGCCCTCCCTGGCGTGGACGTTAGCCCGGAGAGGCTGGCCCCACCGTGAGGACAGGGACTCACCGAGGACTCTTCGGCTTCACACAGCTCCTCAGGGGCCCTGGGGTCGGGGTGGATGGTGAGCTGCTGAATGGAGCCCTGGGGAAAAGCAGAGGGAGCAGAGGACATCATTAGCACGTCCACAGCACGCCTGCAGCAGACCATGCTTGGTTTTGGAACAGAGGAAAACACAGGAAAGAGCAAGTGCAAGGACGAGGACGAGTCGCCTGTGAGGAAGCGCCCCCTGCCCTTGGCTATTCTCCTTGTATCAGATCTCCAGCAAATTAAAAACAAACCCTGTTAGCCAGACAGAAAGACAGCTCTGGTGGCCTAGTGGTAAGGAGATGCTCTGCCAACCCAAAGGCAGGCAGTTGGAATCCACCAGTGGCTCTGAGGAAGAAAGCGCAGACTCACCTCTCAATGTATAGCCTCTAAAAATCTGCTGGAGGGTCAACTATGAATTGGTGTTGATGGCACACAACAACAATGTAAGCTGGAAAGGTCCTTAGACAACAATGTGTTCAAATCTTGGCCTAACACTAACCCGAAACACCAAACCAATTCCTGTGAATGGATTCCAAGTCCCGGCAACCCCGTGTGATTCAGAGCAGAGCTGTGGTCCGAAAGATTCCCAGTGGCTCGATTTTATCCAGGCCCCTCTTCTAAGGCACTTCTGAGTGCACTTACAGCTCCAACCTTCTGGTTAACAGCCAAGCGCTGTGGCGTCTGCACCAGCCAGGGATTCCCTCCTAAAACACAGGGGTGCTTTTACACACGTTCTCTTCTCTAACTCACCACCCTGTCAAGCAGGTTGACTCTCCTCACTTCACAGACGAGGAATCTGAAGCTTGGAGGACTCAGACAGCCTGGAATCATCAGGCGAGTAAGTTAAAAACTCAGGACGGGGAACTAGGTTTCTGTGGCTGCAACAAGCTCACCAAGCCACGCTTTGGCCACTTTCCACGTATTTTAACTCCGATATAAAATAAATCCCGTTAGCTGGAGCTCCAAGCTATTTTCACCATTACCCGCATACCTCTATGAGGACATAAGACTAAAACAGTAAAACCAGCTTTGTTGTTGAGTCAATTACAACCATAATAACCCTATAGGAACTGCCCTACAGGGATTTCAAGGCTGTAATCTTTCTGGGGATGAACCTGGAGAAAGGATGAGAGTCACACAAGTGTTGAGGACTTCGGTTCACAGGGTCGCTGTGAGTCGCCTATGATTCAACGGCACTTAACAACAACAACAACAACAACAATCTTTCTGGGAGCGGATTGTCACGTCTTTCTCCCATGGAGCAGCTGGTGGGTTCAAAGCATCGATCTTTTGGTTAGCAGCAGAGCACTTAATCAATGTACCACCAATGCTTCTTATAATAACGGCATTTGCTCGTGTGCATTGCGTACTAAGTCTGTACTCAGGAGATTCCCTGATCTGCCTGGAGCGACACTCACAGTGAATCTCTCCAGGCCTGTGGCTCCCGCATTGCCCACGAAGACGCCCGCACTGGGCTCAATGTTCAAGGCCCGGGAGGACCGCTGGAAGGGGACGCTGCTGTGCTCTTCACAGTCCATGAGCAACATCACCTCCTCGCCTTGGACGATGACGGCAAAGCGGTTCCATCTGTGCGTCATCACAGGCACTGCAAAGACGGCCGCCTCGTGGGACACGGGGGAGCCAGGCTCCGTGTAGTAGAGGATGAGGCGCTGGAAGCCGTCCTGCACGCCCGAGAGCCGCAGGCCCAGGTAGATGACCTTCTGGAAGGCGTCTGTGATGGCAAAGAGCACGCCGCCATGGCTGCCACTGGGCTTCACCGTGACGCTGATGGCAAAGTCCCTGAAGAAGATGGGTGGGATGAGGGTCCGGGCCGGTCGGCCTATGTTGGCACCGGGCTGGAAGTTATAGGCCGGGAAGCCACCGTAGCCAGTGACAAAGGACACTGAGGAGGGCAGCGGGACACCGATGAGCTCAGTGAGGTCCAGGTGGCCGTGGGAAGCTGGCTCTGTAGGGAGGGGGAGAGAAGCCATACATTCTTCTATGACTGGTGTGAGCATGAAATACTGTAATTTTGTTTTGTTTTGGGGAGTATTTTCTAAACTAGTGTCTTCCAAACGTTTGGCAATGATCCACAATAAGAAATTCATTACATTGCAGCACAATATACACATATGCTGCTGTTGTTGGTAACTGCTGTCCACTCAGCCACGGACTCATGACATCCTCACAAGCAGAACGGCTCGCTGCTCGGCCTGCAGCCACCCCACGATGGGCTATGGACTGGACAGCTATGACCCACGGGTTTTCTCTGGCTGACTTCTAGAAGGAGGAGATCAGTCCTTTCTTCCTAGTTTTAGTCTGAGAGCTCTGTGAAAACACACAGCAATAAGCAAGCCTCAACACCAGAGAAATAGAGACTGGAAACGAAGTACTCTGGCTGGGAACTGAACTCTGGTCGCCTGCATAGAAGGCAATATGTGCATGTTGTGTGCCCATGGAAATATATTTAAAATGCTCAGAGCATTCAAAAAGGTATAAATAATCATACAAGAAACATGCATGTTTCTTCTCAACTTGACAACCCATCATTTCAACCAGAGGTCTCGCTGACTTGCCAATCACATTGCCCTGATCTCAAGACAATTTGGTGTTTATGAATCCCATGCATTTCTTTATATGTTTTCCCCATGTGGATGTGTCCCTACAGACTGTAGAATCCCTGTGGACCACTCCATGCCTCACATAAAAAAAGGAGTCCACTGCGTGCATTCTCCTAGAACTTACACCCCTTCTCCCTCAACATTGTATTTTTAAAAATTTTCTACTAGTTTATTTATAAAATTCAAAAACAAATTCTTTCAATATCCCTCACCCTGCCCCCATCAAATTGCACAACCCCATGATTAATCCCTCCCTGCCCCCAACCCCACCCCCCCAAGGTCAACTATGGGCTGGTTCCAACTAGATGACAAAGAACAGTAACAATATACACACATAAATTTCCTCTAACAGATAAAACACTCCTACAAATGAATAACAATAGACCACTTCCCAACAGAAAAAAAGGCAAAGAATGGTCAATTCTTTCCTCATTTAAAGAAATAAAAATGGCTCCTATACAAAAAGAAGCTCAACTTCCTTTGTAATGAAGAGAAATGCAAAGTAAGGCCCAAAGAGATATGGCTTTCCGTATCAGATTGGCAAGATCAGATGCTGGATAATACGCTGAGCTGGCAAGGGTCTGGGGAGACAAGCTCCCTCCTGCACTGCTGGTGAGGATGAAACCACTGTAACATCTGTAAGAAGCCAATGGACAATGTTTATTGAAATCACAAATGTAGGTGCACTCCTTGACTCCAGCAGCCATGCTTCTAGGAATTTATTTTTAAGCCAATAAAGTTTTGTTTTTGTTGTAGTTAGGGGCTGTTGAGTCAACTCCAACTCAAGGGGACTCTATACATAATGCATTTCAATTTTGCCCAAATCTA